AAAATCATAATATAATTTATATGTTACAAGCTTTAATGTTTGCTCGCGATTAGAATTTAGTATATTTGTTTACGTTGCATTTGATTTGAATTTATTTGGAGCGATCGATATTCAGTTGCGTGTCGATAATTATCTGCGAACTAATTTCGTACGTAAAAGTTTTTTCTTTTTTTGTTGGTGCGATTCCATGTAGATTATATTGAATTTTGTTATTTGTTGCACGTTTCTATTGTTATTCAGCTTAAAATGAGTTGGTAAATTAAACTCGAATTTAATGATTAATACGTTGTTTTAACGTGTTGCAAATTATAATTTTACTTGAAATTATTTTTTTAAATATTATTCTAGTCATAACTTTATGATAAAATCGTAGTTCATTAACCGTTGTGATTTTATTAAGGAGAAAAATTAATAAATTTTTTGGAATTATAGTATAGTTTTATAACGCTCGAAAGTGAATCCGAGAAGAAACTTAGGCGACAGGTATATAATTAGTTAGGAGTTAGGAGAATTAAAATTAGTGGAATGGATACAGAAATGAAGGGGGAATACATGTTTATACAGCTTTGTGTCCCATCCTGTTAGGAGCATTACTTACTTAAAAAGAAGCCGTCGTTCTTCTCCGTAAAGATCCCTAGCTTGTTACCGTGGCTGCGGACGTGGCCTTTCCACGTGAGACTTTGGACCTCGAGTCGAAATTCCTATATTGATCGATCCCGTTCTATGTCCATCTCTCCTATCCAATCACAGTTGCTTCCCACCGGCAAAAAACAGACGAGTCGGGAGCTTTTAGAACGTCAACTTCAAGATTGCCAATAAAATCTTCTCTTTCCAGCCTCCTCACTAGTCTCGGATGAAATTCATCTGCCGGCTCCTCTCCTCCGTGACCTTTGTTCCCAGGACATTACGTTTTTTTTGCATATTATCACTTGTCTCTACCTTTGTAATTATGTGCGAAAAGTAAATCGGGTGCCTTTTTTTTTTAATTTGTTCTTTTAATCATTTGGCATGGTACTTAGTATTTTCCCTTCTTCTCTTTCTAAAAAAAGAAAAAAAAACTTATTAATTTGTTTTCTCTTCACACTCGAATGCATTTTTACTTAAACAATTTCTGGGACGTGTCGTGCATCGAAATTGATGGTATTCAAGTTGGGTGCAAAGTAGCAAAACAAATAGGAAAAGAACTGGCGAGATCAGGCGTTATAACTTATGTGTTTATGTTTCGTTTGAATGGAGTATATGATAATTAAGTTCGAAATATTATTTTGGTCCATTCGGAAAATAAACGATGCACTTCATTTAATATTAATCGAAGTGGAGCATTTGACAAAACTCTCTTAATGCACTGATTTATAAATCTTTTGTGTACACGTGTTATGGGAAGATTGTCATCTAAACTTAGAACTCAGGTAGGTCGTTTCGCCTCATTACTCCACACGTGTAGATTCTCTTCCGTTCACCAGCCTAGGTTATTGGTTTTTCCTACTTTTTAGTATTTATTTTAAAGTCCTGCGAAGGGATGTTGTTTCCCATCTACCGGCTCCTCTTCTTATTATACAGTCTAATTGATTTTTGGTCCGGAGAAGAATCGCTTTAAGTCGGATTATACATTTGATTTCGGTCCCGGCTCTTTGTCGGATATTTCCAAGCAGCGAATGAAGCCTGTTATCTGTTAGTTGTCAGAGCGTCGTGTGCTGCACTCTGTTGTCAGCAGCAGGTAGAGATAAAAGCTGAAATTAATGCTGCACCTTGCAGTCTGACGGTAATGCGCTACCGTTGTGGAAATTAGGGGAAAAATCTATAAATCTCGTCGTATTTTTAAATAATAAATAACTAAAGTTAATTATAATAATATATTTTCAAAGATTAATCTCGGTTTATTTACGAATTTTTTTTTTAGTTCTTCTCTATTTTGCATATTAATTTTCGTATTGACATTTGTATACGGTAGAGAAGAATCAAAATTATGTTTTTGAGCAATTGAGCAATTAAACATTATACATAGACTAACAATATATGTATGTATGTTTATTGCTATATTATATTTTTACATGCTAAAATACGAATTAAAAAAATATTCCTAATTTAGTATGTAAAAATATCACTAAGAGCGTTAAAAGATGTTTTTTTATCATTAAATTCCTATTGAAATAATTGTATTGAATATAGTTATGAGGATAAATTTTGAAGAATTCGTAAATTGTTCAGTGACTTGAACGAGTATTATAAAAACAAGTTTTTATATTTAAATATTTTTGTAACGATATCTCACACTACTTTAAAACGTATTTAATCGATGGACACATATTTAACGTATTGATTTTCTTCAATTGAGTTTATTACATATATAATAATGTTTTTTTTTTGTTAATTTGAATTTTTACAGATTAATTTTAATAATTTTATTTTCCTTTAAATATTTTAGTTTTTTCGGTGTATTTTTTGAGTGGAAAGACGCAAATCTCTTGTTTTTACATGTATACAAGTGCTTTAAAATTTTATAAAAAGCATAATCAAAATATTAGATAGCTTTGATATAAAATTTTGGAAATGTAAAAAAAAATTAATAAAATATTTATTATTAATTGTCCATATTTTTAATAAAAAAACAAAATATGTACAGGCGTAATTCAGCATCTAAGTAGAGTTGTATCGTATACCGCTAAATAACAATAATTTAATAATTATTTAATCAGTTTAATTAAATGGGTTGTATCAAGAAAATTATCGTTTTTATTATGAAGTAATAAAAAAAGCTAATTTTATATAAAATATTTTGTATCGTAAATTGAGTTTTGTGACTAATCATATAAATTATATCCTTAAGCTATAATTAGATATTTTAGAGAATTGGATACTCCAAATTTTCAAATTTATTGAGCTCTTTTATCTTGGCATTTTCTAATCGAAAAGTTAGTCCCAAATATACTATAAAATTATTATTATTTTGGGTTATTTAGAGCAATCTTTATTACTAAAAAACGTAATGGTATGAAATTTTTGTTACTTATACTACTAAACACACCTGATTATATTTGCCGAGTTTTTTTCTCTTTATTGCTGGTTGATCTTCATTCGTAGATTCTTTTCCCATCTCGTAAGAAGTTTGCCTTAGGACAAAAAAGTTCTTTATACAGTAAACTTCTTTATATATCTGCATAATTACAGTTTGAATATATATTTTTACACGTTGCTTCCTCTTCAAAATAGTTCTTCTATGATTGTGTTTTGAATTTTTTATTTTATTTTTTCCTGTAATCGAGAGAATTGGAAATCGTTTTTGCTTTCACTGAATAGAGATGAAGAATCACTCTTTCTCATACATTTAAATGTTTTGTTTAAATAATCAGTTATCAAAATATGATGAAATATCTTTCTATAAGTATTTTCTACATTTCTAAAATAAAAAAAAAATTCATTAATGTTTGTATTTTTTTTCGTTTCATTAACTTTTATCAAATGTTCTGTTTTTTAGATAAGTACAGTACAACATCCAGATATCTGGTGAAAATTTATTCTTAAGTTAGAAAGGTATTTGTTTTATCACTTGCTTATTATTTATAATATAATCTTCATCCCTTACTCTGTAGCGAACTTAATTTATACGTCGAGAAGTTAATAAATATGAAATTAATACTGTAGATTAGTGAAGTACTCTTGAATTTTTCGTAACGACTTAAGACATATCAATTAGTTGCCAGTATAATAGAATATTAATTATTCTATGACCAATATATTATGTGTACTTCGATCTAACGACATATGAATGAGGAACTCTTTCCACAACAATTACGAGAGTTTAATATATTATATTTTATATTATCTAATTTGATTTTATAAAGAATTAAGCTATCGGTTATTAACGAACACTTTCGAACCGTGCTAACACGAAATTTAAGTTAAACTAATGTACTACGGAGGGAACCGAGATATATTTCTGAAATATTGCTATGTCTTGCCACGTGTCATTAATAAATCAGATATTATTCAAAAATTAGCGATCAAGTAGGCATGGCACCTGCTCGAATTAAGGAAGTTTTCAGCTGCAGCGAACAACGACCTAACTATCGAACAGAAAAAACAAACGAGTCGACATCTTTTATTTGTTTTGTCACTTGATATGAAGATCATAAAATTCTTTTTTGGAGCATCGTTCGTTTGTCAGGCCGTGCTGTTATTTTGAAGCTTAATATAAATTAAATCGTAAGCTTGATTAGTTTTTTAATTATCTTATAATAAATTACTTACTATTAATTTCGTAGGTGTTTAAAATCGTTGGAAATGGTTTTCGACTCTTTTGTATAGGAAGACATTTTCCATGTAAAATGTAAAAATTGTTATAAAAGTAATGTTTAATTCGTTTCTTAATAGCGTTAAATTTCTCTAGATTTTTCTATATTGTGGTAATGTATATAATGTCGGTATCTAAACATAGACTTTATCATTATGTAGGCTTATAGACTCTATATATAGGCCTATATATACTGTTCTACATAAACAATAAAATATATGTTTGTATACTTGTAATGAAGCTGTCAGAGAATAAAAATGTGAATATTTTCCTGATTAGAAATGTTCGGTTGCCAATTATATGATTCAAGCAAAAATAACTTTATATTTTTCAGATTTATTCATTCGTGTTTTAGAGAATGTAATCGGCCTAGTGATAAATTCAAATTTAAAAAAAAGAAATCAAAAGGAAAAATCTTGGCACATATCAATAATAGTGAAGAATGATTAACAATATTCCAATTTATAAATACTTAGTATCGATTAACATTATTGAATGATTGATTTCGATGCTAGTTTACCTCGTCCAAATCGGACGATTCATAATTTCGATAAAAAAATAAATAAATAAATAAATATTTCCCTTAAAATGTCTCAATTTAAAATGTAAATCATGCATAAAGAGGATAAAAATGGAATATTCCTTGTTTTTATTGTTATTTAATGATTTGCGACGTCTTTTTTTGTACGATAAATTTTTGATTTTCTTGTAAGCAAGAATTAAGATTACTGTATTAACAAACTTCTGCTTATTTTGGAAAATCTTTATTAGGATATATTCGAATTAAATGACTATAGTAAGTTTAATTTGTATAATTTATCATTTTTAAAGTACCAGAATTATATGTTTAGATCATCCGAAACAGGTTATTTGATATATTTGAGAATTATTTGACTTCTAACATTACAGTACAACGTATTCGAATATCCCGATTTATTACTCGTTAACGTCCATTTATAGTAACCACCTAATAATAACTTATACTCGAATAACCACTTTTCTGACGTACTTAACCAGGTACTGTTTGATGATGTTTTTAATCACTTTTCTTGTATTTATTTGGACGAGAAGGTATTCGTAAGCTATTTCAACCAGCCCGTTTGTCTGTACGTTACATTACTTTTCAATTTATGAAGCGTTTTACATACGTTAAACCATTTCCATAACTCTATATAACCGAGGACGGTTCGGTCACACTTCGTCGCACGAGCATAAGGCGTCACGAAGAACGAAGGAAATAGCATCGTTCTCGCATGCACGACATGAGCATAATGTGTTCGAAGGATTTTTGATGTTTCCAGAGATTTTGTTTACACTTGTTTTTCGGTTCTTAATCTTGTTTTTTCTTTCGTTCTTTAATTTTCCATGCTAGTTCTGTTCATTAAATTCTTGTTTATCTATCTATGCCTCCGACGTTCATTTAAAAAGAAAGGAAAGGAAAAGAAAAATGCGAAATTCGATGTTGGGGTTTTAAATTTATTAATGGTAGTTGGTGTATTGCCTAAATAAATATTTTTAAAAAATTTTTTCCTCGATAAATTTTTAAAGACCACGGTATAGGTTTCTGTAATTGTGTCATGTGCAGTAGATAGGATTCACTCGGGTTATTTGCTAACCGTTCGTTGTTTTTGGATGATTTTAAATTTTAAAAGAGCGATTGTTTATGGAGTTTGGTCGTAGCCGAAGTAGAAATGAATTAAATCAGAAAAATTGGAGTGTGGGTTCTATTCCTGCTACAGTAATTGAATTTAAAAAAAATTAATTAGCTTTTAAATTATGCAATAATAATAATAATAATTTTTATTATAAATAAATACGGTGTTGGAAGAATAGTTTAGACGAGTGGAAGAACGATTACCGGAATACTAATGAAGGAGAAAAAACATTTGTGAGCGAAGAATCAACATCGGCATGTCTGCGTTCTTTTTCTTTATATCATGGAATGCAGAAGTCAGTTAGATATCTTCGCTCTTGTTATCTACGTCGCTCACTCGGACTCTTATGGCCATAAAATAGACTGTTCACTTTCTAAAGAACGCCTCGCGTCCGACGTTAAGACGGTCGAAGAAATTTAGAACCTTTTGTCGCCTCGATAGTGATCTGTAGCCCAGAGCCCACACCCCCGCCGGACTAGTTACGTAGTCTTCCGGTGCACGTGACGCGGCAGAAACCGGCCCAAGGAGAGTATGACATTAACTCGAGGGGACGGGACGGGGGAGATACCCGAGATTAATGTCCTCCCCACCCGTGCGTCCTTTCCTCCCCGTGGGGCCAAATACTTTGGGGAAATTGAGGTAACCATAATGGGTGCGCGAGGGACAAGCAGGAGCTACAGATGAATGCACCTGTCTTACCTTGCGCTTCCCCCACATTCAGATTAAGGTCGGGAGTGTGTCTCTGGATGTGGTGAGTGAATGTTCTCTCCGACATATCCCATGGATTTCTCCGAGAGGGAATGCAGAAGAAGCGTTTCGCTAACGGGCCGGTGAGTAGTAACTTTTTAAATATTTGTTTTAAGTATGAAAAATCTGTTCAGAACAGGTTTGGCTTTGGCCGTTCGTCCACTAGTCGATTCCAGACCCGGCTCTCGCCCTAACGCTCTTCTATCTCGTTTAGTATTACCGTCGTTATACTTTTAGACATATTACTAGAGTGACGATGGTAGTACTTTATAAACTAAACGAAAAATAATTCGCTACTTAACGTAGATTACACTACCTATTGAGAAATTTCCTCCAATTGGATGAGGTTGCTTGACAGGCTTTTATAATTTCCGTAGTCATTGGAAAGGTTTAAACTTTCGATTAACGTCTCACCTGTTACACCTTATAGCAATAAATGCAACAATTTTCCAGTTAAATCGGAGTTGTCTGTCATGTTTGACAGTTTATTTTACGAACTGTCTTATAACTTAGTTGTGTTCTTCTCGATAAAAACCTAGATAAATTATACAAAATTTAAATTTTGACTCTGACTAATATCGATATCGCAGAATTTGTGTGTCTACTAGACATTTTGGATGCTTTTTTTTTTTTTTAATTCTTGAACAGTAAATTGTTATATTGAAAACTTTTGAAATGCTTTATTATATTATATGTTATTAGATCTAGATGTGAGTATTATATCTTTAGATAGATCCTACATAATTTATAGACAATATTTAGGTATTAAGCGCGACTTTAAGGGCTAATTTTAATTAAACTTAATTAATTAAGGCGATGTAACTATCGAAGTTTACGCCATTCTAAACGTAACGGGGTTAGACGATGACTACAAATGTTAATTTAATGGCATTCATATTTCTAGCTAAATGGAGTGGTTTATGCGCATATTCTGCCGGATTAGTGCATTTTGTACACGCTCTAACGAGCAGGTGACTTATGTGTTACGAATGAACGAAATTGCATACGTGAGAATCTCTCGGTTAAATCCTATTGGTGGAGATATTTTAATGCTTCCACCATTTATCTCTGGAGTGATAAGGGAAAGATCTCTAAAGTTTCGGGGCAAAAAGGACGATTAACTTAGATCCGCCCTCGAAATAGCGGCCGAAGACGAATTTCGTTTTTTGTCATAAAAGAAGTCCATTAGGAGTTTGTGGATTTTCTACACAACAAATATTCTAAAAGGACTTATTTTGAGGGATCGATAGATTTTTTTTTCGACCCGAGGACGGATAAAAATGACCGGCCGGCTTATGGATTCCAAAGAGAAACGGCGGAGATCGGTATTAATTAATTTTATAATTTTTAAATCTTTTCTCCGAGCATTTTAATGGTCGGAAGACTTCTACTAAAACTTGGCGTCCATCGTCTTCCGTTGCGACATAATGTACAAAAATTGCACTCTGAACATTCATCTAAAGCTGTTATGTGCCATTAAAGGGTCATAAAACCGTAGGTGTCTTATAGAAATTCCTTGCTCACTCCTGCCAAAATGTTCACTCTATAGAAATATATGGTTTCTTGGTAGCGATTAATACTTTATCCCGGTCCACCATTACCAAAGTTGCTCGGACTTCTCCATATGATAGGAAAGGCTCCCTCCCCCTCTTATTACACCTTATTACCCGAACATTATTTGTCATTACGTCTTATATCGCCAGTCCTTGCAGCTACCCGACGGAACGCTCTCTAAAAAACTTTCTGCCCGCATTAAGAAATCGTCTCTACTTAATTCGGGTTTACCTCTCCTCCACCTGGATTACTCGTCGACGTCTCGTCTTTCGTCGTCACTTCCGACGTCGACCTTCCGCACCCTCCGATACAGGACGGGTCGCGTGACCGGGGTCTGCCCTTTCGTCATCCTTTCTCTCGACCGGAAAAACCCGCCGAAGTTGTTGCCGCCAAATTTATTACTGTATAAAAACGAGTATAAAGATTTTTACGGGATTTCGAACGAGATCGGTAAAGATTCCATTCGAGCTAACAGTCAAATTTCAATCGATACGAAGGTAAAATATGGAAATTGTTGGACGAAACAAGCGGGAAAAAATAATGATTCGTTGGCCATGGAAAAACTGGTGTTGATTTTATTAGTCTGTAACTTGTTGATCTCGTTTAGAGAATGGGATCAACAAGTCGCAAAATATCTAGAAGATAAATATACGCCGAAACAAGCGTGGGATTTAGATACGTACAGTACTTATCCGTTTCAAACGGTCCATATTTAATGTATAAATAAACGCGTTCAATTTACCATCGTTTATAACATAATTCATTTAACTGGTCATTTAAACTGTTAGAAAAATCGAATTCACAAAATGGTTTAAAATTTTTTAATGTGTTTTAAATTAAAGTGGTTTCACGCTTATTCTTTTTTTTAAAATAGACAATGTGGTGTTGGAAAGTTGGGTAACTGCGAGTTCGTATCTGGTCCTCGCGTGTTTCTTTTTCATCTTAATACGAGAAAAAAATTTATCCAAACAGCTCGGTAAGGTAAATAATACCGGATTATTTCGTTTTCTCGTTAGGGGATAGTAGAACAAAGGAAAAAAATGAAGTCCATCGTGTTAATATCCGAGGAGAAAACGAAGCCGAGTCGACTAACCATTGTTTCGCGAATTTCGACGTGTAGGGCAGAACGAAATCTGTGGTAGAAGGTCCGGTGGCCTCTATAAAAGGTAAAAATTGGTGTTTCCTATCGGCGATTGGATATCTTCTTTTTTTTCTGGCCGGTGCTCCTCGCCTCCTTATCTGCCGAGATTTGGCACCGAGATAAATGAAGAGCCCGACAAATCCCGGTGCCCGCTACCGAGTGCCCCGTCCACCTCTCTCTTTCTCTTCTTCTCGGCGAGGGGGGAAATTACAAACGGGCCGGAAACCCGGCCGCTCTTATCCCCGCAGGAAATTGGTGGGAGTCCGGAGACCCGGGTCTTGCTGCAAATTAGCAGTCTTAACGAACATTTTTTTTTTCTTTAGCCGCACGCGCCCTTTTGCCTCCCTCCTTCCCGCCACCTCGTCTTACCTTTGGCCTACGTTCTCCATCTCTCTAAGCTGGCCGCTTTCCGGGTGGCTTCGGACTCCGGGCTTCCGGTGCCACGCTCTACTTTAAGTCTTACCATCGTTCGATTTGGTTTTGGGAAGTTGCATTTTTTATGATCGCTAAACCCTTAGAGAAGGATCCTTCTTAATTATATTGTTTTTCCGCCCTACATTTTCCGAATTAGACGAATATTTGACCTAGAACCACGACTGCTAAAATCGCAAAATCTCGGAGCAAGATTATTTCCACTGACTTATTCGGTTTTTAAGATTTTAAAGTTTTAATTATAATGTCGGATTTAAACGTACATTTTTTTTGTAATCCCTTTAAAGAATCTTATCCAAATTAAGTAAACGAAAACGACATACAGTATGGAATGTAGGTTTATTAATTTATCCTATTATTAGTAGAAAAAAATACCTTTTATTTTAAGCGAAAGATTGTGACTGATGACATTAATATTCACTGATTGGAATTTATTATAATTTAAAATTGCTTGTTTTCTTAACACGAGATTATAATATCTTCGTGGATTTGTTAAACGGCGTGTTGTTTAAGTCGTATAATTGTGTTTCTTAAATCATATAATATGGTAAAATAAGGACATATCGTACAGGAATGTATTTTATAGAGATGGACAAAGTAAGTTCTTTAAATAGTCATTATGCAGAATCCTGTCTGGCTGAAGATTATTTTATAAGATGATACTCTTCAGTCGCAGACTAAAGAATAATCTGTGGCTGAAGAGGGGTCTGGCCCCGAAATACATTCTGCATAATGACTATTTAAAGAACTTTGTCCATTTCTGTAAAATACATTCCTGTACGATATATCCTTATTTTATCAAATTATATGATTTAAGAAACAACGATTAAAAGACATTTCAAGTAAGTCATATAATTATTAAAGAAAACCTTATTTGTAGAAGGCAACCAATACTTCAATAATACCTTTGTATTTTTTCGTTTCTTCCTGTCTATTTTATTTAAGTAGATTGTGGATGTTTATATCGACTTCATATATGCTTTAACTTATTCTTACTCGTCCAAATGATGATAAAAGGTATTAAAATCATTATTTGATTAAAACTTAAATTTTCTCATTAGAAACCAGCAAGATATTTACAGCACACTTTAAACTGATACTCGCAACGATAATGTGACGAATCGTTGAAATAATTTTTAAAAAAAGATCGTTAAGGATATGATAAACGTTGTTTTTTATTTTTATAAATTGAGATAGCAGAATCGCATTTCTAAAATTGAAAGTAATTTTTTTCAGATTATAACCCAATCAGATCACGCTTTCTATTTACAGCCAAATTTTTTCCTGGTATGTTCTTGGGTATTACAACATACATAACATCATCTCGATTGATTCATTATATATATATTTTATCATATTTCTGTTTTTTTTCTTTTAAATTTCCCTGGAGTTTGGTGAATTTTGAGCTTATCACAACAATATATTAACATATTTTTTTTAAAAAATAAAACTTGCAATTTAAATATTTTACTCCATCTTGGAGTTAGTATTGTAATTTCGAAATATGGAGGAAAAGTTGATTTACAGATTTCTGCGAAAATCTCCTCTAATCAAAATAAAATTAAATGCATTGCTTAATTTGTAATTTTCCATTGTAACTGGATATACATACCAGTACATCTTTATAATTGGATACTTAATTTATGCAGTTAATTTATGTTGATGTTTCCTAAAACTTTTCTATACCGATTCGGCCATGGCACTAATTGTCACAGCACTAAAAAGCCTACATGAATTACGTAGATAATAAACGAAATTTCAAACATTAGTTAGGGTGAATCCCTATTAAGACTCTCTCTATAGTTTAGTAATTATTATCTTATAATTTAAAGACAGGCTAGCAAATTTATATAAAAGGCATTGTTATAATCGGGATTTTTTTCGTTATCTTAATTAAAAGAGGACTTCTATTTACAATTTTTTTGTCTTCTCTTTGGAGCATTAGTTTATATTAGA